GTGGAAGGATTCACTAAGAAAGTATCCTTATTTAGGAATTTTAAGGATTGAATCCCTAACTTTTGGTGAGATCCACTAATTATTTAATTATTTTTCTCTAAAAATTCTCTCTTAAAGATCTCTGTTACGGATGCTCTTATGCCATCTTGAAAGGGGAACATTGTATTAATGGTGTTAATATTTTATTCACCATGAGGTTCCTTTTGCCTCTCTTTCCTGATGGTTTATATATGTACTAACCTTTGAGGCACTAAATACTATTGGACAGAGCTGTAGGCATTGGCATATTACAAGACTATATATGTCGTGCCAGATAGGAGTCAATGGGATGTCCCTGGCTACATTAAAGAAAAGAAGATCTTCGCTCCTAAGCGCATTGAGAAGCGGGAAGAAAAAGAGTGAAAAGGTTTCCATCAGCAGAGGAGCGTCGACCAAGGACACAAAATAAAAGGCGTCCAAGACAAAGTCTACAATGGTTGCTATTTGGAAATCAAAAAGTTTGAGTTTAACTTTGTGTAATACTAGTATAATTTTGTAAACCTAAGTAGAACTGTGTTTTAGTTTGTGTATTTGAAGAAATGGTTGCTAATGGTTGCTATTTGGAAATCAAAATGTTCGAGTTTTATATGTAAATAGTTTGTTTTTACCGTACAATCAAAGGAAGAATCCAACAGAATAAGAAAAATGTTATACCCTACAATCAAAAGAAAAATCTGAAAACAAACTATATACTACATAAAATTTTGTAGTGACTTTGTCAAATATGTGACTACTGAAGATTACATTTCGTTATAAAACTTTTATATACCCTTTGATCACCCTGAACACCAATAATCCAATTCTTTTTTTTTTTGACATCAAATAAAACAGACTCATATAGACCCTGCGAACCAAACTGGTAGCTCTGTATCCATGTGAACAACGAAAGAGACTTGTTTTCGCGCACTGCGTGCTAGACTGTCCGCCCGTGAATTATGTGTCCGTGGTACATGAATGATTTCTGAGCTGTGAAAACTCCCTTTAAGCGTCTTGATGTCTTCTATATAATTTGAAAAAGCTGGCCATTCTTCTGGTTCCGAAACCATCTTCACCACCTGAGAACAATCTGTTGCAAAAGCAACATGATATTGACGCAAATTCCGCATACTCTCCATCGCCCAGATAAGTGCTTCCACCTCAGAGTGAAGAGGTGAGAGACTGGCTCTGACATTTCTCGCTCCCATTAAACCCTCAAAACCTTCAACAGTACTATACCAACCATGTCCATCAAACATATCTTTATCTTTCCATGAACCATCAATAAAACACCAACATCCTGAGATAGGGGGTAAGGCCGCAGCTACCCTTGACTGTGTTTCACTCGGAATTACTTCTACCTGGGCTTCTGCCCACAAAGTGGATTCTGTCTCTGCCAATGCTAGTGTATCTTTCGGATCAATGTCCAGATTACTAAAACTCTTGTTGTTCCGCGCCTTCCAAATATACCATAAAATCCATGCAAAAAGATGATCCTCCATTTTAGGGAGAACCCGCCAAAATAAGTGATCCATATTGGTAAACAGTGATCCTGTAGGGAAAGTTATTGTGTTCAAAGGGATCCTTGACAATGCCCAAACTTGGCGTGCTGGTGGACACTCAAAGAAAATGTGGTTCACCGATTCTTCTTCCGCACCACATCTGTCACAACATATATCCCCATGTATACCTCGTGTCTGTAAAATTTTCTTAACCGCAATACAGCCCGATAGCAATTGCCATAGGAAATGTTTTATCTTTGGAGGACACCGTATCTTCCAGCAGAAAGCCTTTAAGGCATCCACTGTAGGTCCAATAAACTCAAGTGGCCGTCCTCTATCTGGGTATACCCTTTCCACTTGATATCCTGACTTCACTGTATATTTTCCACTCTTAGTATAATGCCATCCATCCCTATCTTCCATTCGTATCTTACTAAGTGGAATAGTTCCTATAATTTTCACATCTTGGGGATCAACCAGAGCGCGAATTACCTGCATATTCTAAGTCCTCGTATCTGAATTGATAAGGGAGTCCACAGTGAGATCGGGGTACAAGTTTTGTTGGTTTGTATTTGCTGGTCTCGGGCGAGTGGTTGGGAGCCACGGATCATTCCATACTGAAATAGAAGATCCGGATCCCACCCGTTTAATAAGTCCTTTATTAACCAGAGATCTAGCTGATATCCTACTCCTCCAGCCATATGACGGAGAATATGATCGTATCGGTTCCAGCGGTGACACATTCCTATAGTATCGCCCTTTGAAAACACGAGAAAACAAAGTTTGTGGTTTGTCAATAAGACGCCACAACTGTTTACCTAACATTGCCGTGTTAAAGTCCTCAAGATCCTTAAATCCCAAACCCCCTTCCTCTTTATCGGTGCACATTTTATCCCATGATTTCCAATGTATCCCTCTTGTGCTTCCCCCAGGGCTCCACCAAAATTGTGCTACCGCGCTCTTTAATTTCTTTATGGTTGCCTTAGGTAATCTGTAGCAGGACATCACATGGTTTGGTAATGCCATAACCACCGATTTAATAATAACCTCTTTCCCTCCCTTCGTACAAAATCGGAATGTCCATCCATTAACCCTTTTGTTTAATCTTTCTTGTACAAATCCAAATACTTGTATCTTAGACCCACCCAGGCTCTCTGGAAGGCCCAGATAAGTTCCCATTCCTCCTAAATTATGGATACCTAGTATATCCCTAAGCTCTTGCCTGGTATCTTCCACAATCCTATGACCAAACTGAATTGAAGACTTCTGAAAATTTATTAATTGACCTGAAACTGCCTCATATTCCTTCAGTATGGTAAGTATTGTTCGACACTCCTCTGGTTGCGCCTTACATAAGAAAAGACTATCATCCGCAAAAAGATGATGAGAAATCGCTGGACATGCTCTAGCAACCTTCATTCTTGTTAACCTATTTTGTCGCTCCGATTTTTTAATGTTAGTAATTAAAGCCTCCGTACACAAAATAAAGAGATAAGGGGACAAGGGATCCCCTTGTCGTAAACCTCGTTGCGGAATAATAGAACCCTTAGGTTGACCATTTATCAATACTTGATATTGAACGGAGGATATACATTCCAACATAAGCTTTGTCCAATGAGGATCAAACCCCATTTTGAGAAGTAAAGCTTGAATAAATTTCCATTCCACCCGATCATACGCCTTGCTCATATCTGTTTTTATTGCCATGAACTTTCCCTGGCAAGATTTATTAGCTCGTAAGCCATGAAACATCTCCTGAGCAATTAAAATATTGTCCGAAATTAATCTACCGGGACAAAAGCTGATTGGGTTTCCGAAATCAACCTAGGCAAGCAGGATTTCAACCATTGACACAACACTTTTGAAATAATCTTGTATCCAACATTACAAAGACTTATCGGCCTAAGCTCTGTCATCCTCGTGGGTCTCTCCGTCTTCGGAATCATACAAATATTAGTAGCATTTAATCGGTCTTCCAACACTTCTGAGACCAAAAAATCATTGACCATCTCTACCAAATCCTTTTTAACAACATGCCAAGAGTGCTGGAAAAAAGCGCCGTCATTCCATCCGGTCCTGGGGCCTTTTCTGGATGCATCATAGATAAAGCTTGTCTAACCTCCTCCTTCGTGGCTATTCTTAACAACCTTTGATTCATTTGTGGTGTAATAGTTGATGGAAATTCCTCTAAAAAATTAGCAAACTCATTCGGGGAAGTGGAAGTAAATAACTCCTCAAAATAGCTCACTGCTACTTGTTCCACTCCACTTTCCTCCGTTATCCAATTTCCAGGGTTATCATGAAGACCTACAATTCTGTTGCGTACCCGTCTTTGTTTTGTCAAAGCATGATAAAAATTGGTATTAAGATCTCCCGAATAGTACCACATATTACGACTCTTTTGATGCCAATAATCCTCCTCATCCTTATATGCCTCTTGTAATTTCCTAGATACTTCCAGAATGTCTTCATATGTCCTATTATCATCCATCTGTACCTCTTCAAGAGCTCTTTGGAGATCTTGAATTTGTTCCTTTCCATATGGTGGATTATCTTTCCTCCACCTTGCAATCTCGTGTCGACAATTACTAATTTTTGAAACCAAACCCTCACCCTGACTATGATTTCTTGCTGTCCATCCAGCAACAAGAGATTCCATAAAACCTTCCTGTCCGATCCATCGCTTATCAAACCTAAATTGTCCCCGTCGTTTGTATACTTTATCCTCCATATATGCAAATACTGGCCGATGATCAGAACCAACCATCCCCAAGTATTCTGTGTAAGAACATGGAAATGATGTATGCCATTCTTCGTTTGCTAATGCTCGGTCCAAACGACACCTTATCATTACCGCACCTTGCCCTTTCCCTCGACGTCCTTGCCATGACATTTTATTTCCACGAGCCGGGAACTCAAGTAACACACTATTTCTAATCATATTATTAAAAGGAACAAAAGAAGCCGGGTTCCTTAACAAACCCCCTTCCTTTTCATGATTTCCTGTAATTTCATTTAAATCTCCAATAAGATCCACTGTAACCAAATTATCATAGCCAAAGTGCGCTTGAAACCCTTGTACAAAATCAAAGTCTTTTTTTGTTTCTGATAAAAACAGAAAATCAGGTTTATGTTTATGTCATATCTCCCTAAGATAATGTATTGTCCATTTACTCCCCATTCCTCTACAATTCCAGCTTAAAATCCTCATAAACAAAATTGATGACACTCCAGTGAGCTTTGTGAATGGGTTTGGAATAATCCAATTCTTAAATGTTATATATCACTGAACTACTAAGAAAACAAAATATATTTTCATGTAATACTAAAATTACGTTAAATCACCGGATGTACAACTATTTGTAAATTCTGTATAACCACTATCTTGGGGAGAACTACTTGTATTTTTTTGGTGGGCTTATCTAAAAAGTTCCAAATTTAGGCGGGTTTTCTAAAATTTCATCAGTCAAAGTGCCATTTTCGATGGGAAAAAGCAGATTCCCACTGTCGACTATCCCTATCTCGCCTCTCATTCACCACACATTTAGTCTCTACCACCTTTCTCTCTCATCTGAGATCGTGTCTCTTCTCTCTCTATCACCTTTCTCTTTCGTCATTCTCTCGAAAATCCCTCAGATTCTCTCAAGCATGTCTCTCTGGGATGAGAAACAATCAAAGAAGAAGATGAAGAAGCTGAAAGAACACTACGACATGCTTTACTATGTTTGTGATGCTCAGTACGGGATTCCAACTTCCTGCCCATGTGGGGGATGAATCGTCGACGAGTTTTCTACTAATCCAAAAGATAAGGATTGGTTACCAGGCCGTAGGTACTTCACTTGCAATGAGTTCAAGGTAATTTCAGTTACTGCAACTTTGTGAAGCTATGTACTTTTTATGGTTTAACTTTGTGCAACTATGTGAAACTGACAGGACGATGGACTCCACTTCCATCAACCATGGGTTATCGGAGTTCAGGAAGAGATTAGTCGCTTAAATAAAAAGGTGGACGAAATGGCTGCAGAGATAGCTGAGTTCAGAAAGCTCATTCCCCACTAAGTGTTTGTTAGTTTGGTTGTCTCTCTCTACTTTGAGATCACCAATGTTTTTACTTTTGCTAGTAACCTTGTGATGATGTTTCCTCAATAATTGTTTTTGTATGTGTTTCTGAATTATGTCACATTGTGATGATGTGTAAGACTTATGTTCGGTTTAATCTAAGAACTATGTGCTAGTTACCCGTTGTTTCACTATAGTTTTCGATAGTAATACCATAGTTTTCGATAGTAATACCATAGTTTAACCGTATTCATACATAAGTGACAAAAGAAAAACACGATCAAACATAGATTTCCATACTTTCCGATAGTAATACCATAGTTTATCCATATTCATACATAAGTGATAAAAGAAAAACAAGATCAAACATAGAATTCTTCAAACTGCCTAACAATTTCGTCTTCTTCATTCACTGTCACTCTTTGTCTCATTTGTGAAATGGTCTTCTTCAACTGCTCAATCACTCTATTCTTTTCCCGGATTTCATCACGAGCTTCAATTAAGGCTCTTTTTGCCATTTTGTACCTTCCTCTTCATCAAACCAACAGAAGTACTTGCATTCATTACCAAGCTTATAACGAGGACAGCCATAAAATCGCCTCCCTAGGTTTTTGTCGGTCCAAGCTTGCGTTATCGTTGCCGGTAAGCCACAGTGACACCGTCTCCGATCAGAATTTTTCTCCTAGATGAAGAACCCGAGCCCAGTTCCATCGTCAACGAGATCTGAGAGTAAAGAAGAAGAGAGAGATAACTGATGTGAGAAAGAGAGGTGAGAGAGAGTTTTGTTTGTTTTCGATATGAGAGAGAGAATGAGAATAGATAGATAGATAGATAGATAGATAGATAGATAGATAGATAGATAGATAGATAGATAGATAGATAGATAGATAGATAGATAGATAGATAGATAGATAGATAGATAGATAGATAGATAGATAGATAGATAGATAGATAGATAGATAGATAGATAGATAGATAGATAGATAGATAGATAGATAGATAGATAGATAGA